AGCTCCCTTAAAGTTCCAGCCCAGATACTGGACTGGGGTTGAGTTCAGACTGGAGCCCCCCTTCCCGGAGCTGGGGACAGAAGGAAGATTGGGAAGGGGGTAAACTTGGAGAGGGGTTGATTTAATTCCCGTCCCTTGAAGCTCTCCCTGTGAAGGAAGGGAGGGAGGGAGGAAGGAAGGAAAGAACGGAGGGAGGGAGAAAGGAAGGAGGGAAGAGAGAGGAGGGAAGGGAGGGAGGACTCCCTGCCTTTTTGATTAAATGTCCCGGGTCGGGCCTGCCCAGTTAACCAGACCGTTAATTAAGCCGCTCAGGATCCAACTGACAGGGAGGCCCTGCGCCCCACAGAGATGCTCTGGAAACCAAGCGGTCCACGGCGCGAGCGCGAGTGGCGCACACCAGCCGCGCGTTGCCCCCGCCTCCTAGGGTTCCGCCCAGGCAGAGCCACTCTCCCTGCCTGGGCTCCGGGGTGTCCCCAGCCGGCTGCCCCCACGGGGTCCCCAGAAAATCCATCCACCCCCCCGCCCCCGCCACTGGACTCCCAGCCCCGCCATCCGTCCCGCGTCCCTGCGCGGATGCTTAGGCCTGAGCTCGTGCCCTGCCCTCACCCATCGCACCCCAGCGGCGTCCTCTCCCGCCCGCCTGGGCGCACACGGTCCCGGGGTCCTCGGGCAAACCCAGACTCCGGAGGGCAGAGGCCGGGGACCCGGCCTGCCGGCTCGGCTCGCTGGGTCTCGCCGGAGCGCCAAACCAGCTGCCCTGCTCCGGCCTCGGGGCAGCGGGGCCCAGGCTTCCCGCGCGCTCCCACTCGGAGCCCGACTCGGCTCGGCGGCGGGCGGTGCGCTGCGGCGCGGCGGGGCGCTGAGTGTGTGTGCGCGGCGCGGTCTATATTTACACCCCAAACAAAATAATTACACTTTTGTCGGAGGGAGAAAGCCAGTGATTAGGCGTAGGCTCTTTGCGGCAAAACAGTTTCTCAGTGGTACACCAGTATAATTTTTCACGGCTGGCTGAAATCAAAGAGGGGAGGTAATGAATCCGGCGAGCAATTTAAATTTACAATTTGTAACGCCGCCGCCGCCGCCGCCGCGCAGACCCGGCCGAGAGCGCAGCTCCGAGGCGCTCGCTGCGTTTGTTTAATGTTAAAGCCGAGCTGGCTCTTGGGGGGCGGGTGGGGGGAGGCTGCGTGTTGGGGGGAGGGGTAATGATCGAAGTCGGGAGAGGACCGGCTGCGTCGCCCAAGATACTACGGGGAGAAGAGGGCAGGGAGAGGGCCTCCCGGGTTCCCCCAGCCACCGCGGCCCCCAGCGCGCGTTGCCCGAGAAGCAGGCCACTCCTGGCCGTTCAAAGACAGGAGGTGTGTTCGGAGGAGCCAGGAAACAGGCTGGCCGCCGGAGAAGCCCCCATCCCTGCTTGACCGCAGAATCCCCCAGGCAGGAGACTTTCCGGTGAGGAGTAGAGAGGTCCAACTGAAGTGTCCTCTTCAACGTGCGGGAAGGTCAGCTCCCAAAGTCCAGAAGAGCCCGCTGCCCCATGTCCCCAACTGAAGAAGTCGAGAAAGTCACCCCCACCCCACGCCCCAGCTCAGCGGCGCCTCAAAACTCCCACCCGGGGCGGGTGTGCGCCTCCTCGCCGGTAATTAATTACCGAACTCAAGGGGGAATATGCAAGCCGCATATTACTAACTCTACAGGGCTTAAGTGATTGGAAACAGATTATTATCTTGTTTGTCTTTTGTCTGTTTTACTTATCCCGCCGCCGTCTGTCGAGTTGTAATGTTGATACTCTTTACTCTAGGAGGAAGATTTTTATATAGTAAATTCCATCAACATCTTGTATAAGTGACATTGCGTCTCCATGCATTACCCTGTTAAGACACAAGCGGTTTATTAGTTACATATAGGAGGGGATTTCGCTGCCTTGTCACCATCTGTTAGCGCTGTTAGGGTAGGATGTGTCTAATAGTTGGTCTTCTGGAATTTTCCGATGCTGTGCACCCCGGAAGGTGACGGGGTGGAGAAGGCTGAGCTGGCTTCAGAGCAGCCCAGCTGGGGCCAGGGGGTTTGGGAGCTGGGGCGGAGCTGAGCTGTACCGAGGGCAAGGTCCCCAGGGCAACTGTGGGTGGCTGCGACTTGACTCGGGTAGGATGGAAGGAAGGTCAGACCAGGGCTTCTGGAAGCAGATTCCCCATCTCCTGCAAGCAGGGATTGAGCCCCGTGTGACTCACCGCATCCCTACTCAGGGCTGCTATGTGATATTGTTCCCTATTCCTGCAACATCACTGGCCTGGCAAAGTGGTGGCTGGGGCCTGGCTGTGCAGTGGCATTTAAACAATCCAGGAGAGGAGGGCAAGTGGGTTTGTCTGAGAGTCGGATGGAGCTGGGAACACAGGCCCCCACTGCCAGTGGGTGAGCAGAGCCCAGGCTGGGAACACACACCAGACCTGGCTCTCTGGATATTTTGTGGGGGTTTGGGGGAGAGTGGGCTCCGTGCGCCTAGTCTGGAGCAGAGAAGAAAGTGGTCAGAGGGAGGTTTTTAATGACTGTGGAGGGTGTGGGTGGGGCGTGCAAGTCTGCTCCCCACACCCCAAAATCTGTACGGTCGGTGCACAATGAGAAGCGCTAATCTCAGCATTGAGCGGATGCTGGATTCAGAAGCCCCAGCGGAGAGGCTGAGGAAGGAAAACAAAAAAGGGAGAGAAACAGAGAAAGAAAGAGAAAGAGAAACAGAAGGAAAGGGAAACAGAAAGAGAACAGACTGGGCGTCAAGGAGAAACAGAGATAGAAAGAAAAGCAGAGACATGGTGAACACAGGAGAGACAGAAACAACCCCAGTGAGACAAAGACGGAGAAGGCAGAGCCATTCACCTCCACCGGGAGCCCGGGCGCCTCTCTCCTCTCTGCGTTCTTACGTCTTCCCGCCTCTGCCCTGCCAGAGCTCAAGGATCCTTCATGTACCGGGTGAGCAGGGCCAGGTGCTGCCAGAAACTGCACTTTCATCTGGAGCCTCTCTCCAAACGGGCCTGGGAGGCCAAGTGAGATCCATCCTGCTTGTTCCGACAGAGCTGGGCTCTAACTGGCCTCACTACTATCACTGCTATGCAGTGTGGACACCTGTCCCCTGACAAGCTGGTCGATCAGGTAACAACACCGACAAGGCAGAAGCTGCCCAGGTTGAGGACGCCTTTTCCAGAGGCCTGGCTGGTGGGTCAGTGCTCCACCCAGTGACCGGCACCTATCAATTCCCTGTCCCCAGCAAGATCACCTCCCCTAGAGACTGCGGGGACAGCACTAGACCTGAAAAGAAACAGGGGGACAAGTGAGCCTCTCTGTGCCCCAATACAGGCATCCACAAATCCTACCTCCCCCACCTCCGATCCGTGAAGGTAAGTGCCGTCAGGAGTCACCTACAAACACACATAAAAACACACCCCAAAAAACCTACAGGAGTTACGTGAACAAAAATACTACTGTCTGCACAAATACACACACACACAGGCACACAGAGTGACTGGCACACAAACATAGATCTTCAAAATTCTGTACTCACAAACACACCCAGCCCAGCTCAGGGTCTCAGGCACGCACATGCTCACCTACATACAAACACACACACTCCTGTTTTTAAAGGACACCTTCACATCAGTGTTTGCACACACATACACAAATACTCTTACACAAATGCACACGTACACATGCAAACACCCTCACATTCATTCGGTCTCGCGTAAACGTACACACGTACACACAGCCCAGGGAAAATAAAAGTGCACACGTTGATACATACAAACGTTAGCAGGACCATACACAATTATAAACACACAAATTTGCACACACAAAAATACACATACCAAAATGCACTCCCAGGATTGATTACTAACATACTAAAAACATATGCAAAAATGCGATTCTGAAACATTGAGTATACACGCACAGATTCAGTAAATACACCCAAACAAACGCTCACAGCCAAGTCTGGGCACAAAAAACCCGCTAGTTCCAGCCCTGGAGCCCAGGCCCTACCCTCCTCAGCCCTCTTTCTCCGAGCTTGTCAGGAAACGAATGTCCTGGCCACACATTCCCGGCTTCTCCAACTTGGAGCGCCCGGTGGCCCCAAGGGAAAGGAGGCCTCCCCCTCAGAACCACAACCCCCTCCCTGACACGCCTGCGATCACCCCCACACACACTCCCGACACCCTCGGCGCCCTGCCGAGCCCGGAACACACGTGCGCCTCTCCTCCAGCGCCCAACGAGGGACTGAACTTGCACACTCAGCCCACACGCGGTGTGAGTGCAAACAACGCCCACGCAGTCGCTGGCGTCCCCCGACTCGGCCGTGGGACCCACTCACCACAGGGCCCCGACTGGCTGACAGGGATCTGGAAGGTGCCGCGAGGAAAGGGGAGACGTGGCCAGTGCCACCTGCGAGCTGTCTTCGGGAAGAGCCTCCACCCTCATCTCAGCCCTCTCCACTTCTCCCCCAGAGCTCTGTAAGTGGCGGCTGGGGCCTGAAACTCCGGAGTCCGGGGCCAGGCCTAATGACACCACCCCATCACCACCGCCCCAACCTGGGCCTGGGCCTGGGCTCTGCAGCCGCGCGGCCTCCACTGGCTCTCTCCATGAGAAAGGCACCGCTGGGCCCCATCCCCGTGTATGACAAAAGAAGCCGGGGCCAACTCCGGGAGCCCGGAGAACCGCGCTGGCCCAGCTCCGGGGCGCTGACCCCAGAGGCGCGGGGGTGGGTGAGTCCAATCTGGCGGGCTGGGCTGGGCAACGGGGGCGGACGTAGCGCGCTCCCGGCCACCGGCAACTTCTGCAAGTTCCAGGGACGGCGAAGGGGGCGGGGGACCTCCTAGACTAGGCCTTAGAACCCTGACCCCCAGGTATTTGTGAGGAGAGAGACAGAGAGAGAGAGAGAGAGAGGAAGAGAGACGCAGTTTTCGGATCGCGCGGCCCCTGCCCCCCAGCCCCAAACTGGAAGGTAAATACTTACTTAGCCTCGGAACCAGGTACAAGCTAATACTCAACAATACTGATGCCTTGTTTTTTTTGCTCTGTCCGGACCGCAAAGCTGTAGCCAATTTAGATATGCTATAAATTTAAGAGGTTGCCATGGCCACGGTGCGCCCATTGGCCGCCGGGCCCCCTACGTGCCGCGCCACGTCACCAAATCTGAATAAGGATGCGCGAATTAGGCGGCGGCCAGACAAAGATGAGGATCGGGACCGCTTGAAAGTGGGGGAAAGTGCCGGCGCCTCCGCCACCGGGGAAAGCCGCTCGGCAGCGCCGAGGCCAGCAGCCACCCGAGACACCTGGGGGAGCCCGGAACAGGCGCCGGGGCGCGCGGCCCGTGGCATGAGGCGGTGAACGCCACCACCCCGCACCCCACTCTGGGCAGCCCGGCTCCAGGCCAGCGATCGCCCGAGGACTTGACCGGCCGAGTCTTGGTCCGGACCGGACTCGCCCAGCCGCTGCTGAGACCAGAGGGAAGCGCAGCGGCGGCCCGGAAGGCCCGAGGGCCAGGGGCCCACAGGGAGGGCGAGGCGGCCCGAGCCGCCGGGGCGCGCGGCTATGATGGTGCACTGTGCCGGTTGCGAGCGGCCCATCCTCGACCGCTTTCTGCTGAACGTGCTGGACCGCGCGTGGCACATCAAATGTGTTCAGTGCTGCGAGTGCAAAACCAACCTCTCGGAGAAGTGCTTCTCGCGCGAGGGCAAGCTCTACTGCAAAAATGACTTCTTCAGGTAAGAGGCCGCGCCGCCCTGCTGCCTGCGCGCCCGCCCTGTGCGCGCTCTACTGGGGAGTCGGGGAAGGGGAGACCACGATACCCACACGAGCCCCCCGGGCTCACAAGCTTCGATGGTGAGCGGGGCAGCACTTTGCTCTCCTCCTGCCCTCGGTCCAGGAAAGGGCCCTAGCCCAGGCGGAGGAAGGAGCTGCCTGGCTGCCTCGCGGTCGGTCGCTCCTCCAGGGCGGCTGGGAGCGGTGGTGGGGCAGGGGAAGGAAGCCCTGACAAACTTGCTCTCCATCAGTCTCTGCCCCTTTCTGGCCGCTGCAACCCCAGGACGGAAGCTTCAAGCCCCATCCTGGCAGAGGAAGGATTTTTACTGGAGTTAGGGATGGCCGGGGTCTTCTCCCTCTGGGCAGACTGCGTGAACCCACAGGCCGCCCTCCTGTACAAACAGAAACTTCTCAGCTCCAGAGGGGGCCCAGCGAGGAAGGTCTCCCCTGGTGATGGGGGGAGGGAACCTTCCCCTCCTTCCCTCCTAACCCCTTAAACCCCTTTCCTCCCATGTTGAAAAGCACAAATGAAATCAAGGCTGAGAATCAGGACCTCCCGGGTCTAGCCAGGGGCTGTGTCACCCACCTCCCCCCAGCCCGTGCGGACCCTCAGGTGGGCCGGGGCAGATCGCCTCTCTGGGCCTCAGTTTCCCAACTGGGAAATGCAGAGGGACAGCCTGGGTGCCTGTGGGGTTGGCGGTAGCTTAGCCCTGCCTGCTTCCACTGGGCGCCCAGGGCCGGCTTTGTGAACGCGAATTCCGGGCGCCCAGGAAGAGGGGCGTGATCAACACCGCGGAGAAAGGCAGCCCGCCGGCCCCAGCGGCTCCGCACTAGGGAATTTGAATAGGAGAAAATGTCAGCCGCGCCTTTACACGTGTAAACTCCCCGGCCCCGGAGGCCCAACGCCCCTAATGTGGCGGTGCTTGCAAGGCGCCTAATGATTTTTGATAAGGTGCATATGGCCAATTACGCTGCCGGATAAGGCCAAAAGTGACTTATGGCTTCTAATGCCCTCACTACATCAATGTCACCCAAATTCGCCCTGTTTAGAGACGTGGGTGTGAGTAGATGTGGGGTCCCCAGAGTCCTGGGCCCTCCCTCTCCCCGCCAACCTGCACCTCACCCCTATTGGTGGGGGTCTGCACCACCTATTTCAGGGGAAACCAGCTTTCTCTCTGGGCTCAAGGAAGAAAGAAAAGGAATTAGATCAGGAAGGCGGGAAAGGGGGGATTTGAGAGATCCCTGCCCTGGCCATGCAAGGTTTATGGTTGCCTTCTGTTCACAGTCCCCTGCTGCCTGCCAGGGCCAGAGATTGGGGATGGGGGGTGGCTGGAACTCAGTCCTTGCTTCCTAGAGTGTACCCCTTCGAGGTCCTGCTGTCCACAGCTCCTGCCTAGCTCCATGGAGGGGGCAGTGTGGGGATTGGACAGCCTCTTAGTTGGCGCTGGGAATCCATGGAAGGTTCCCCCTTCCTGCTAAAGTCTGGCCCAGGGGAGGGGCTCCCTGCTTGGACCAGCCAGCCAGGCAGATTGGCCCTACCCGGGCACCGGCAGACTAGACAGGGTCCAGGAGGCCAAGCCATGAAGTGGTCCAAACCCTGCCCACCTGGCTTCAAATCCTTCATGAACTCTGAGTTTGCCTGGAGCAGCCCAGGCAGGTCTGGCAGGGGTTGGGATGAGGGGTGGCATCTTAGGACACTCAGGGCCCTCTGCTTGGCTCAAGGCTGCACGCATTGCCTGCCCCTTCACAGCCCAGTAGAGTGTGAATAAGCCCAGTGGAGGCACGGCTGCCCTAGTCCCGAGAACAGCCCAGGACATTTGCGCTGCATCTCCTGCTCTGGCCTGGGCGTGCATGATTGGGGCTCTGTTTGACAGCTGTGGAAATGGAGGCTTCTCAGAAGCCAGGGTGGGTGGGAAGAGGTCAGGGGCTGAGGACTGGACACCAGGCCCACCCCATAGTGACAGGCACCTTGTGTCCGCAGGCGCTTCGGCACCAAGTGCGCTGGCTGTGCGCAAGGCATCTCGCCCAGCGACCTGGTGCGCAAGGCCCGCAGCAAAGTCTTTCACCTCAACTGCTTCACCTGCATGGTGTGCAACAAGCAGCTGTCTACCGGCGAGGAGCTCTACGTCATCGACGAGAACAAGTTCGTGTGCAAAGACGACTACCTGAGCTCATCCAGCCTCAAGGAGGGCAGCCTCAACTCAGGTATGCAGGCCTCAGCCCCTTCCTAGCCTTGGGCCCCAGCGCCCTCCTGCCCTGTCCAGCCTCTACTTTGCCGCCTGTGGGAGGTCTGTGCCCAGCTCAGAGCTCACGACTCGGGCTCACCCACTAAGCAGTGCTAGGGCAAGGCGAGGGGTTGGAGGTTGGGGAAAAGAAAGCGTTGCAGCCGGTCCTACTGGGGAACCGGGAGCCGCCAGCTCTTCCCCGCCCTCCTCCAATTCAGGCGGCTTTTCCAAGTGGCCCTCCTTCCCTAATTCGAAACAGCCCAATTCGATTCCTTCTGTGTCATCTGAGCTCCAGGTAATTTCTAGGTGCACTGGGAGGACGTTGACTGGGGTCTAGAGGAAGGAGAGAGAGAAGAAGATCCAGAGGGCGCCCCCCACCCCCCTTACCCAGGCAATAGCTGAGAGGGCTTAGGAAGCCCTTCCAAAGGCCCAGCCCCGCCTGGAGAGAGTGGGCGGGCGCCAGGTCCCTGGGGGAGGGGCTGTCGCAGGTTTGGGAGGGAACCCAGCGCAGCCCGCGGTAGCCTGGGCCGGCTGGAACCGGCCACTGGATTGGAGAGGCGTCGGGCCGCAGCTGACGCCGCTGTCCCCTTCCCGATCCATCCGCCCCGCAGTGTCATCCTGTACGGACCGCAGTTTGTCCCCGGACCTCCAGGACCCGCTGCAGGACGACCCCAAGGAGACGGACAACTCGACCTCGTCGGACAAGGAGACAGCCAACAACGAGAACGAGGAGCAGAACTCGGGCACCAAGCGACGCGGCCCGCGCACCACCATCAAAGCCAAGCAGCTGGAGACGCTCAAGGCCGCATTCGCCGCCACGCCCAAGCCCACCCGCCACATCCGCGAGCAGCTGGCGCAGGAGACCGGCCTCAACATGCGCGTCATCCAGGTGTGGCCCGGGCTCGGTGACACCTCCCTGGCCCTGCTGCGTCCGGGAGTCTCGGAGGAGCCTCTGGAGCCTGGTTGGCGAGGAGCGCTCCGGCTTCTGGTCTAGGAGCAGACGGTGCGCCCGAGGTCGGGGACAGCGGGGCACCCGCCCGGGGTCAGGGGCTCTGAGTCAAAAGATTTAGTCCAGCCCTGCTGTCCTCCTGGCGCTGCGATTTGGGGCGGGTCACTTCACCTCTCTGAAATCTGCTCCCCCGCATTGTTCAAGGAAGGTTTTAAGTCCGGGACCCCTCCTTTCCTCCCACCTTCGGAGCAAAGAAAGAGGCGACGTTTGTCACACGTCCCCTCCCTGCGCCATGCGCGGGCAGACAGATCAACCGCCAGAGCCCGTCTCTGGGGCTGAGGGGCCGAGGGGAAAGCCATGCCGGGCGGGAGGCCTTTATAAAGCCGTCAGGCCGCGGGCGAGCCGAGGACCGGGAAGCCCAAGTCTTTATGAGTCGCCCCACGGGTCCGCGAAATCCTTCACCCTTGGCTGGTTCGCCGAGGCCCCTCTCCACCCCTCCCGGCCTAATCCGGCCCGGCCTCCGCCTCGGGGGAGCCCTGGTGCGGAAGAGGCGCTAGGACCCAGCGGGGCCGACCCAGGCGGGGAGAGGAGGGGCGGGGAGGCGACTGACCCCAGGCTCACAGCCCCCTCCTCCGTTCCAGGTGTGGTTTCAGAACCGACGGTCCAAAGAACGCCGGATGAAACAGCTGAGCGCTCTGGGCGCCCGGAGACACGCCTTCTTCCGGAGTCCCCGGCGCATGCGTCCGCTGGGCGGCCGCTTGGACGAGTCTGAAATGTTGGGGTCCACCCCGTACACCTACTACGGAGGTAAGGGGCTCCCCGGACGCGCTGCTCCGTACCTCCGCCCGCGCTGTTCTGGTCGATGAGGGCGCAGGGCGCAGGGCCCCGGCCAGCGCGCTTTCAGTCGCCCGGGGACCACCCCCCCTCGCTCCCTCCCACTCACGCAGCACGTACACGGTTATGGACACGTGCACACTCCCCTACTCCTCCTGGACACAGAATCAGAGACATGGACTCACCCATACAGTGACACACATACAGGATACACAGTGACACCCTCACCCGCGCAGGACACATGGGCAGACTCACACACACATTTGGATTCAGAGACCTCAGGGACATCTAGACCCACGATCACACACAAATACATTCCACCACCACCCCAGGGACACTCACTGAGACACACAAATCCACAGACACACACTCCCGCACTTCATGCTGAGGCGGGCGCTGTAAATCCTCACGCACGTCGCCCCCACGGACACACGGGACACACAGCCTTCCTGCTGCCCTGGCCCATGTGCCTACGGTACTTGGCACAAGGCGGATTCCAAGCACTGGAGGGCAGCGCCAGGACAGGGGAGGGGGTCTGGATTCACTCCAGGCCGCCTGCTCACTAGCTTTGAAGACAGCAACTCCTGTTCCTCGGTGGGGACGGTGCGTGCGGCGTCTGGCACTGTTAGCCCGAATGCCGGCAGTTGCTCTGGGCAAGACTCTGCCCACCCTCCAGCCCCAAGCATGCTGGGATTCGTTCCGAACGGGGTGCGAGGGTCCAGACGTCCACTCTCTCTGTCTTTGGGTCTGTAGAGGGTGTGTTTACAAAGGGGGGAAGATGGTGCTACCAGGCTCAGGCCTGGGGTGAGCTCTCCGCTTGGACATCCCTCTCCCTTCTCCTACCTTCCTTCTCTCCCTGCCCCTCATTTCCCTTACACTGGGTTGGTGACCCACAACTCCCCCAACCCCAGATTTCTGTGCTCTTCGCTTCAGGGCCATGCTATGCTGGCTCTGGGTCCTACCCTTCCCAGAGCTGTGGGCTCAAGGAAGCACTTCCCGGCTTTGAGCCTCTGAATTTGGGGAGCCGCAGTTCTGCCTGTGCCTGGGAGGGATCTGAGCTCCTGAGTCGCTCTGTGCCGCCACAGGCCTGCTCCCGGCTGGTAGTCCAGGTTGGGAACAGGCAACTTCTCTTAGAAAAGTGGCAATGTGGAGGGGGCAGGAGCTAGGCACTGAGGCAGACCCAAGAGGGAAGGTAAGAGAACCCCACAACTGACCTCGGCACATCCAGAGGCCCCGGAGGTTAGATTTTGAGACCCGATCAGGGTCCCTAGAAATTGTGGGCAAAATGCGAGGCTGCACTTTTTCTGGGGCGAGAACTGGCAGGTTGCAGAGACCAGGTTGGGGAGCTGCAGCCCCCCAGCCCCAAGCAACCCGGACGGTGGGCGTGTCCTCCCCGGGTTCCGGTCACCCGCTCTCTCCACCCAGTTTTGCCTCCTTCCCGCACAAAATCTCATCCCGGGAGCAGCGAGGTGGTGGGGGCGGTACTGGCCCCGGAATTTTTCCCCGCCCGGGTAATTAACCAAGGTTTCCCCCCAGGACCATTACGCCCCCCACCAATCCCGCTGCCTCCTCTCCCTGCGCGCCTGCTGGATGGGGTGGGGAGCTGGACTCTGGGGGCCCCTCATTCCCCGGAATGGGGGGCAGGACTCCCCAGCCCCCAGCGAGGCAGCCACGCCTAATCCGCGCTGGGAGATCCCGGCGGTGGCGGCCGGCAGCGGGCGAGAAAGGGGCCGGGCGGCGGGGCCGGCGGCTCCCCGTGGGAGCGCGGACAAAGCCCCAGCTGCGGCTTTTGTGCCCTTTTCAGACGGCGTTTGTTCCAATTACCTCCGGCCCGGCCGCCATATGGGCGGAGGCGGCGCGCACCGCGCCGGGGCCGCGGCCTTCGCTGCTTTGCCGGCTCGCTGCGGGCCTCGGCCGTCCCCGTCCCCGTCCCCGTCCCTTTGGGGCTCCAAATTCGCCGCTCCCAATCTTCCCCTTTACTTTTTGGGAGAATGGAATTAGTCGTTTTAAAAGGTAATTGGCAACCGTTTTAGCTGTTGCCTAAACTGTCGCCAAGCCACGCCTCCAGACCCCCCCATTTGGACAGACTTCAGGATTTGGAGGGGTGGGGAGGGGTGGGGGGGTCCGGAATTCGCCCTGCGACTGAGACCCCAGAACCGAGCAGGGGAAGTGGGTTCGCAGAAGAGACAGTCTTCTGGATGCGATGGTTTTCGCGGTGTACGAAGCGGGCTGTTGTCACTGGTGCGGGCCACAAGATGCTACTTTCCTGGGTCCTCCACCTAAACCTTCAGGGGCCCGCCTGGACGGGGAAAGCAGATGTCCCGCAGGACCTGGAGGAGGCGCTCCGGGAGGCAGTTAAAGGGGCGATGCGAAAGCAATTTCCTGAGGCAGGATGGGCGTGTAACCTGGAGTCCCCGCACCCCCTGAATTTGCGGGCAAAATGTGCGTCTGTGCATTTTTCTCGGGAGAGAACCTGTAACTATCACCAGCTTATCAAAGGGCTCAATGTCCCCAAATGCTTCAGAACCTGAGCTTCTGGCAAACCCACCAGGATGAGGCTGGAGGATCCAGCCTCTACCCCAAGCGCAGGCGGAGCTCTGGGCATGACCCCGCCAATGTCCGCGTCTTCCTCGTCCTCTCCCAAGCCGCTGGAGCTCAGCTTTCTCCGTTCCGGGCCAGGCGAGGCAGGGACAAATGGTTGGACCCTAGTATTCACCTGGATGAACGCGCCGGGGCTGTACTTAGAGGGGCAAAGGACTTGGGCCAGGTCGTGGGGCGCAGGGACAGAGGAGACCGCGCTGAGGCCCCCCTGTGTGCTCTGTGGCCGGACTCTGCGCTCCTGGCACAGCCCGCCAGCCCCTTGGCTCTCCGGCCGCTGGCCAGGTCCCAGCTTCTCTCCGGCCGGTTCTCAGCCACTTCTCTCTGCTCTGTCCTCACGTTCATTCCCGCCTGGCTTCTCTCCCGGCCTCTCGGCCTCCGCATCCGTGGACTTCCCTTGGACTCACGAGGCCAGTCCGCTGTCTCGCAGTCCCTGGGCGCATGGGTCTCTCTCAATCCCCGGTCTCGCTCCTCCTCGCCGTCCGCCCTGGGTTTCATGGTGTCTCTAACCGCGGCTGTCTCATCTCTCTGTCTCTGCGTCTGCTCGACTGTCTCGCTTGACCTCCGATCTCTGGGGCTCTCCAGTCTCTGCTGTTGACTTTGGGTCTCTTTCCCGGTCTCGCCCAGTCTGCTGGCTCCCTGCTGCCCCTCCTCTCCCCTCCGCCGGTCTCTCCCTGCCTCTGTCTCTCGCTGTCTCCGCATCTCTCTGCATGTTTCTCCCTAACTCTGAGACACCGTCCGGCATTGTTCACTGTCTCTGTGTCTCTGGCCGCAGCGGTCTCTGTCCGTCTTTAAGGAAACTATGACTTTGAAGTCCGGCGTCTTTCCATGCCTGCGTCCCTCCCTGTCACTGTCTCTAAGTCTCTCCGGTTTCTGTCTCGTCTCTTACAGTTTCAGTCTCTTGTCCTTTTGCAATCTCTCCGTCGTCTCTCCCAATCCCTCCCCGAGGGCCTGGGACCCTCACCATCTCGAGGCGCTCAGGCCTCCCGCTCCCTTGGCCCCTCTCCAACCTCGGGTCAGTGTCGCGCTCTCCCGCTCTCCCCCGGCGGGGTCTCTGCGCCCCCGACCCGGTCCCCAGTCTCTGAGTTTCCTCTCTCCGGGTACCCTCCGCTGATCCCGGGCGCCTCGCCTGCTTCGGCTTCTCATGGTTCGGTGTCTCCTTCCCCTTCCCCTCCGCAGACTACCAAGGCGACTACTACGCGCCGGGAGGCAACTACGACTTCTTCGCGCACGGCCCGCCGTCGCAGGCGCAGTCCCCGGCCGACTCGAGCTTCCTGGCTGCCTCGGGGCCCGGCTCGACGCCGCTGGGCGCGCTGGAGCCGCCGCTGCCCGGGCCGCACGCGGGCGACAACCCCCGGTTCACCGACATGATCTCGCACCCGGACACGCCGAGCCCTGAGCCGGGCCTGCCGGGCGCGCTGCACCCCCTGCCCGGAGAGGTGTTCAGCGGCGGGCCCAGCCCGCCCTTCCCCATGAGCGGCACCAGTGGCTACAGCGGACCCCTGTCGCATGCCAACCCCGAGCTCAACGAGGCCGCAGTGTGGTAAGGCCGCCGGGCCTCGCCGCCCGCCCCGCGCTCGGTCCCCCGGGGCGCCGCGCGGACCGAGCCTCCCGAAACCAAAACTCCCGAAGCGACGCGGACGCTGAGGACGTGGGTGTCCCTCAGGGGTTCTCTCTCGGGTCGCACTCAACCAGCAGCTGCTTCTCGGCTGGGGGGGCCGGGGGTGGGAGGACCCGACCCCCGTCTCCACCCCGCGGGCTCTCCGGGAGCCCCAGCCCAACGCCAGCGCTCTCCCGGCAGCCACAGCAATGTCTTGGGACCAAAGTCAACGCTCCGGAGGGTTAGAGATCTCAAGCACGCTCTCCCCGGTCCCCCCAGCACCCATCCACCCACCACCTCTTTGGACTAAGAGCGGGTGAGGTCAAGGGGCGGAGACGATGTTGCCCCGTGCCCTGCAACCCGAGTGGCATTTTGTAATCTTATTTCTCGCTCTGCTTTCCCCGTCTTAAAAAAAAAATAAGATGATAAGAAGAAGAGAGAGATGGGAAGGGAGAGAGAGGAAAGGGAGCAAGATGAGGAAGGGAGAGGTGGGGAGAGCGCCAGCCAGAGGGAGAAGACAGGGAGCGAGCGAGCCAGCAGCGCGCTTGCAGGGGGTGTCCCCGGGAGGAGACAAATCCACCTGCCCGCGGGCGCCCCCTGGCGGCCAGTCTTAAGGCTCAAGGTCAGCTTTTCTAGAAGCCGGCGGTCAGGACACCTCCAGCCCAGACCGGCTGCCCTCTTCCTGACTTTGACATTTATTCTGAGCCCGAGGGTACAGGCCGGACTCGAGCACCGCACGTCCTGCTCTGCCCCTGGGGAGGCGCCAAGGTTGCTGGGAGGGCTCTGACCCGCACACACAGCCCACCCTCCCTGCCCGGGCCTGGAGGCTGGGCTGTCAGGATGTACAATATTATACTTTTTTGGAAGTTGAACGCTTCTAGTTTCCTTATTTTGTATAAAGAAGAAACAAATAAAGTATGTTTTTGTGTTTACTGTTTATTTATTGTACTCTAGTTATCTGGGGTTGGACATTTTTATATTTTTAAGAGGAGGGTGGGCAGAGCGAGGGAGGGAGAAAGAGGTTTACCAGAAAAAAAACAAAAACAAAAAAAACAAAAAAATCAACTTTTTTTAAAAAGAAAGATTAATAAAAAAATTCTTTTTTCCCTCAGCGCTGTGTGGTTTCTTTTTTGTCCCCTACCTCGAGAGTCACGCAGAGTGAATGAAACTACGCTTTTCTGTGGCTCTTGTCTCTGACATTAAACAGACTTGAGAAATGCAAAGACCTCTCTTCACCCCAAGAGGGAGAGCGCCTTCGGTGACTACCGCGTCCGTGAAAGTGGCTGCCACTTTTTGACAGCTACTATGTGCCAGACACTGGATCTCCCACGCTTTGTGTGGCACCCCGCTCTAACCCAAGCCAGCATGTGTGATAGTAGGTCTTCAGCACGCTTGAAGGGTGAATGGATGTGTGATTTGTTTGTCCCTAGTACTTCAAGAGAATTATGGCTCCACTACTAACTATGCCCCCGTGTAATTCCAGGTGGCCAAAATAGAAATAAATAAATAAAGCAGGCTGGTCGCCTGATGCTTTTATCTTCAAGGCCACATTAGGACTGAAGTGCCTTCCCCCCACCAGAGCAGGGCTCATACAGCACATGCATTAGGCAAAGGCAAGACGGAAAGAGTGCTGGTTGAGACTTACGAGGCCCGAGGCCACCACCTAAAGTCTCACGCCCCCCTTTGCCTCGGTTTCCCTACTTGCAAAAGTGGGGTTTGGAGGGAGTTCTTCCTACATTGCCTTCCAACTCAGACCCTGTAGGATTAGAAAAGCAGATGAGAGAGAGAAATATACATGGAAGAGTGTCCTGCGTTTGGACTCCTTTTCAGCCAAGCCTGGGCGGGAGGAGCTGGCCCATGATAGCAGCAGCAGGGAGAGGCGGGAGGACAGGGAGGTGAGCGGGATGGAGCACCGCGGAGCAGGCGCGTGCTGGGTGCCCTGCTCATTCGCGCTCCTTCATGGGGGCCTCGCAGGAATAATGCAAGACGGCGCAGCTTTTCCTTTCTAGCACACGTGCCCTCACCGGGCAAATGCTACTTGCTCACTGTGGGAAATTTAGAAGTTTCAGATACACAAAAGGAAGAAAATGTCATCATCCGGAATCTCGAGAACTGTGGTAATGTGGTTGATACTTTTCCTTCCAGACTTTTTTTTTCCGTTTTGAAACCAGAGATCATACCCTGTGGTCACCCGCTCTGGTTCATGCAGAAATATCTTCCAGACTCATAACCTGATCTTCACAGCCAGAGTTACATCCCTCTGCGTAGTCGTCGCTTAAACTTCGCCTGAATGGCTGAGTCATCCTTTTTTGGTTTTTATTTTCTTTTTTTAACCAATTCTATTGTTGGACATTTGGGTTCATTTCCAATATTTTTACCACTTTAAACCACACTGGAATAAAATCCTTGCAGCTAAATCTTCGGACTTGTTTCAGGGTAGGTGTTAATTGCCCCGTAGGCAAGTCAAGGGATGGAAGTCAAGGGACTTGGCCAAGGTCACACAGCCGGGGAGCGGCAGAGCTGGCAGTCCGGTCCATGCAGTGGGTCGTATTTCTGCTTCTCTGTGGTGCCCTGATTGTGGCGGACTCTAGAGACCAAGAGAGAATTTGCAAGGCGGGCCCCGTCTCTGCCCGGCCCTGCATGCTTTCTGGACATGCGTGAATTTTGCAGAAGGGCTCACTCAGAGCTTTCGCCAGCATGAGAAGCATGAAGTGAAGTGGGAAGTGGGGAGGACTCACTCACACTCCCAGGCAAGGCAAACAGACTTGTGACAGAGGGACAGAGGCAAGGAGGAGGGGAAAGGAGGAAGGAGGTGAGGGGAGAGGGGAGAAAGAGCAGAAGAGGCGAGGAAGGAGGCAGGAGGAAGGGAAGGGGAGGAGGACCCCCCCATAGTGTTCCACTCAGGCCCCATGATGTCTGGAGACCCTCAGCCACCTACCCAGATGGGACGCTTGGGCCCAGACGTGTCAGAGAGGTCCATCAACGAGGGCAGCAGAACGGGGCTGAAAAAATGAGAATTCACAGTAGAACCACCCCCCCACCCCTCCTTCCAGGTACAGGTACACACACGTGCACACACATGCACCAGACAGATATGTATGGGCCCACACGTGTGCACATCCACACATGTAAATACATGTTCACAAACAAAACACAAGCATATACAGACACGTGTTAACAGGCACATGCAGGCACATAGATACACACACACACACACACACACACACACCAGCCACATGGACACACAGCTGCACACGTACACAGAGACACACACACACACACATGGGTGCATGACGGTAGGCACACACACCCATATACAAGGTCTGTCCAGAAAGCATCCAGCCGTGTAAGCTGTTCTCACTATGTTAACAATGGCCGGATGAGGACAGACCTCATACATGGGCACACAGAGGTACATGTACATGCACACACATGTACACTAACATGCATGCATCCATAGGCTTGTGTACACGAATGCACATACCTACAACATGCCTAACCCCTGTGGACACATGCAAACCCACACACCATGCCTTGCACACGCGATCACACACACACACACACACATACTCAGAGCATATAGTATACCCGCCCTTCAAATACCCACAACTGCCGCCTGGGAGAACCGGGGGAGGAGAAGCCCGCCCTTGTGTCAGGTGGGCTTCAATGACCGGGGTGGCGCCATCAAGACCTCTGAGGGCGGCTCCAGAAACCAGATTCCGGGAAGGAGGCCGGATTCTGCGAACTCCCGATGGGCCTTTCCTCTGAGTGTTCCCGAGCGAAGAGGGTTGGGAGCAAACGTCACGTGGGGACGGGATGGAGGCAGAACAGAGCAGGAACTGGAGGCGGGTCGCTGCATCAGTTTGCTGCACTGTGAAATGGCCCCACAATGTCATCTCATCCACGGCGTGCGGTGAGGATTGAAAAGAAGCGACTCAGCCTGTGGCTGAGATTAAGGGGCTCTAGGTCACAGGTTCAATCCCCCATTCTAGTCTCACACACACACACACACACACACACACACACCATCTTCCTTGAAGGGCGACAAAGAAAAGAGAGAGCCCCACCCAGCCCCAAGTCGCCCCGCTCCTATGAGCTCATTTTAACTCCCACATGCTAACTCAGTCCAGGGACTCTGGGAGGAGAAATCCCGCCCCCCAGCCCACCTGGCACCTGGCATGGCACCCGGTGCACTTAGCTAAGGAGGCGGTTCCTGAGAAAGGCCGGGTGGGCATGGGGGAGTCAGGAAGGGACACTGGTCCCTCAGCACCCACGGGCACTTTCGCAAAGTCCGGCTGCAGGAGAGGGCTGGCTAAAAATGTACAGCCCGGCCCCCCAGCCATGGCTGGAGTTGCTCTCTGGGGCTGGGCCCAGGGTGCTTCACGTTCATCAGGCTTCCAGGAGCTTCTGATGACTCCCAAACCCGCGGGGCCACTGCCACCTCTGGGCCCCTTGACCAGCACCTCATTCGGTCCTCACAACTCCCCTTCGAGAGCAGCCTCGGTATTCCCACTTTGCAGATGAGGAGACTGAGGCCCAAGAGGTGAAGCGGGCTGCCTGGGGTCACACAGCAGGGGAGCGGCAGGGCCAGGTTTCGAACCGAGAACTTACATTTCTGAGCCCACGTTGTCCCTGGACCCAGGACAGAGCCCGACACAGGTGTCTAGCAACTAAATGAGTGAATGAATGAATGAAATTCAGCTGCCACAGAAAGGGATTCTTTAAGAAAGGGCCTAATGAATGTTATTATAATTCTTACTGATGGCAAACTCACTGGATTTGGTTTGAAACCGCCTTCCGGGTTCCAAAAAGCCAGCCGCAAGAGCAAAGGGCACAATGAAAATCGCCAAGGTCGAAAGACACAGGACTTCCGCTTCCTACACGCCTGCCCTGCGTGCTTCTCTCCCTCCCCGCCACCTCATCGCTTTTCTCCTCCATTAAGGTACCTGCTCGTCTCCCTCTATCCCTTCATCACCTGTATTTACTATCATTTAAAAATAAAAGATTTCCGAGAGGAAAAAATATTCCAAGACATGCAGGTAAGGAGTTGAGCCAGGCTCTGGCCATGCCCTCTTGCGTTGGAAAAAAGGGACATCTCCCGTCCCCCGCTGCCCCTGGACTGTAATTCTGGCCAACACCAGACAGCCGAACCACATGTATTCCACCCCCCGTCACGCATGCTCGCCTCCTGCCCCGAAATATGCATCCCACGGAGCACGAGGGCTGACCCACCGTGCTCAGGACTAATATTTAAAATGCAG